TTCCTGTCAAAATTTCTTGAAGAAAAAGTCAGGACTACCTTACTGTAAGGAAATGTCATTTCCTTACTGTAAGGAAATGATATTTCCGTACAGTTGTTAGTGTTCTACATAAATGATAGAAAACACATTGCTTATAAGGAATTAATTTATATTTTGAAAACATCAAGTCATTGCTGAATACATTTTTAAGATCAATTTGTTATATTTACAGTAATTTGACAGTTAGTACAATTATTGAACGTTGGAGGAACACTCTTAGAACTATGAGAAACATTTTGGACAACATGCAGGGTGGAAGTGTCATTTTGTTGAATATTTTGTACTGTGAAAATTTTATTTGCCACCTCAACCTTATTGTTAAGCGATTCTTCGATATATCCTTCAGCAACGTTTGATGACTTCCATCCGCCATGCCTCTTTAAACTAGTTATGTGGGCACCAGAGTCAACCAATATTGTTGCAGAAGACCGACGAAAGCAGTGACCAGTATATTCTGTCGGATTTACCAAGTTCAAATAAGTAGCAATTATTTTGGGCATTTTTCTAAATTGATGAATTCCTACCACTTGTCTACAACCCTTTCCGCTTTGATATTTAAAGAAAAATCGGTCACTGTTCATATTTTCTGGTCTTAACGAAACATACTTTCGATAAACATTCAAGTAGATCTGATTAATTACAAATGATCTTGGTTTGTTGGTTTTCGAATCAGGTATGCTGATTAAAAGCTTAGATTCTAAGTCTTCTATATCGTGCACAGTCATTCGGACTAACTCATCCATTCTACAGGCCCCAGAAATACCAAATATGACAGCCACCTAAAAAATAAATAAAGCAATAATCTAAATAGAAATTAAAACCTTGTAAATTACCTTAATCATTAAATTTTCTTTATCTGGAGCTTCCTGGATAAATTTATCAATTTCTTCCTTCGTTAAAATCTTAGATTTCTTTGCCCTATAACCTTGAGCTTGCCGTTTCAATAAAGAACGAAGTTTTGAGTATGTAGATATATCTACATTGTGTTTAAGTGCAAGGGTTGACTTCAGCATTGAATAATTGGTCCATAATGTTGAAGATTTCATCTTTAAACAAAGGTCTAGGAAGTATGCCATTACAACATTTTCTGAGAAAGAACTCGTATTTTTACTCATGCGATAATCCATAAAACGTCTGTATGCATTTTCGTACTTTTCTCTTGATTTCTTTGGCAATAATTCTAATGAAGCAGTATTCACTGCCTCAACCAGCTCTGGAGGAGTCCCAGGAATGGAAATTTCATCATCACTTATCATTTTACTTTCGAGAACACCAGCAATTAAATTTATAAGCGTCAAGTTTGACAATTCAACCTCGATACGTTTCCATAGTAACCCAAGTAATTTTATTAGGAATTTCAAAGCACCATTTATTTGGGAATAAAATTATCGCGTTTTTTTTTTAAATCAATCAATATCTGTCGAATTTTAAACGATTTGCGGAAAAATAGTATGTTTACCTCGTAGGAAAAGCCACATTCCTGGACTCTGTGTTGCTAAGTCTCGGCTTGCGCATCGACTTAGCAATCTTCACAGTCGTCCAGGAATGTTAAGCTTTTCCTACCCGGTAAACAATGTACTATTATGTTGCTAAGTTCTCAAGACATAATAAATTACAAGTGTCAATTTTAAGAAAGAGTGGTAAGCTTCAAAGCTGCTTTATTTTTCCTTTAGTTGAAGACATTGCTGCACTAGCAAGGTCAGACGTTGTATCAATTCTACCAAAACAGAAATTTTTGACAGACAAATCTAAAGTTTGACAGAATTAAGATCGGTTAAAATATTCCTTCATTTCAGTTTTTCTATTGTACCTGTAAAATTGCTATTTTCAATAATAAAAACTATGCTCTATGTATTTACTTTAACAAATTATTGAACTAATACCACTTGACTTATTGTGTACCACCAATGGTACACAATGAGACAGATGTAGACGGTTAGAAAAATAATCATAGATTTTGTTTCTTCACTCACGAGCGAATATTTATTTCAGATTATATTGAGGAAATAATCATATTGATGCCTGGTTAACTCAGTATGTAGACCAATTCAAAAATGTCAAAATCAGAAATAAAAATGTGGTTTTGTCTCATTTTGTACTACCCTCCCCTATAAGACAGGGTGCTTAAAAAACGCAACACCGTCGCTAAAACAATTGCATATTTACGTAAGTATACTAATAAGATATTCTAATAGAGACATATTGCTTCAAATCAGGACTAAACCGATTAATATCAACTTGCTTTAGGTTTATGCATCAACAAGGAAAAAATCAATCAACTCACTCAAATCAAATCCTTAACTCATTTAAACTAAATGAAATAGTCATGTTAATCGATGATTTCAATGCTAAAGTTGGTTCAGAAACTCTCACAAGACTAGCAGGATTTTTCTGATTAGAATATCACAAGAATTCTATGAAGAATAAGAACTTATCAAAAATTATTTTTACGCAATCGAAGTTAAATGGAATTGGCCAAGTATAAATACATAACATATTTTGAAATCAAATAGATTACATCTTACTAAAGCATAAATTTCAAAACGGCATCAAACCTATGGTTGCTTGTCCCGGAGCGAAGATTAACTGGGACCATAGACCCATTATCGCTGAGTTTAATTTCCGCTGTAGAAACCAATCATCAAATCAAAATCTAAAGTTAGAACCGAATGTCAATGCGCCAAGAAAATAGCCCAGTACTATAAAACCTGCCGAATGAAACCTGAAAATAGACATGTCAAAGAAAAAATAAAGCTAAAGATAATGCGGAAACTAATTGTCGAAACCAATTTCCGAATTAATGATCAGATGTCGCTATTGCGTCCATATCGAAGCCATTTTAGGGTTGCTTCTACTAAGACAGGAAAGATTGTTTTCACGTTCAGAGAGTTTGTAAATAGCCGCTCCAAAGATTTCTTTTGGAATGAAATACGTATAAGCGGATATACAGACGCACTGTACGTAAAATAAAATATTAAATGTCTTTCCTTCTACAGATAATAGTTAAAAAAAAAATAGCATTGCGCTTAAATGTGAGGATACACAAAAGATTCTTAAACACGACATACTTTTAACTTTTATAAAAACTTAAACAAATAACCGTAATTTCAAAGAACAAATCTTTGTGGTGGCTTCAAGATTATGACGGGGAAACCATTTTAGGAAAAAATATACTCGTATATTTCTGTTTCTACTAAATGTCCGATTTATCGAACTTTGGTGATGATATTGGCTATAATAGTTTTGTTTGCGGCAGCTCAAATCAAACAACGGATGTCTTATGTTCTTGCCCTGCATTATGAGATATCTAATCTTATACTATACAACTAGTCTAGCATTCGAATCTATTATTTTAGCTATTTTTGAGTTCTTCTTCAAGTGATGCAAAATTACTTAATTTCTCTTCTTTAAGACCCATTTCTCTGATTCATGTCTACTAAAAACACTTGAACGGATCCTAAAAACTAGATTGGTATATTCCCGGTATATTCGGTATATATAGGTTATATTCCCGGTAGCTTAGTTAAGCTTTCGGAGAAATAAAGGAACCATCGACTGTCTTTCACAATTAACTACTGATGTTCAATTGCCCTACTCAAATAATTATTATTTCGCAGTACTTTTTCTAGATATTTCGGATGCATATATGATGACTCCAAATAAGTGATGTTTTGAATACTATTTGAATCCAGAAACAAAAAAGACTCGGCTTAATGAAGTGATGCCCAAAGTTTGGAAGAGAGTATCTATCAGAAACTTTTTTGCCGACAGGCACTATTAGAATCGAGGAAGTTCGTTATTATCGAACGAATTAATTACACAGCAAACATGGAAATCTGCGGGACATGTTGTAAGAACGAAAGACGATAGGTGGACAAAAAAAATTGCCTGAGTGGACTGTTCAATTTTTTCACATGCGAAAAATCATGTCATTTTTCCGCCGTATTACTATCATTCTAGCACAATTTTACAATTATTTCCCATTCTTCAACCCTTCCTACTCACATTTTAATCCCACTACATTAGAAATACAGATAGTTGTAAGATAGCAAACAAAAAAGACTCTCTCTCTTGAATGTTACCTATCGCTGGGAACAGACGCTCTCTCTTCCCTGTTGACTATCGTTAGCAACAGAGATATTATCTTTACTGTTGACTGCCGCTAACAACAGACATTCTCTCTCTCAACCGCTTTTAGTTACGCGAACAATACCGCAAATACTGTTTTAAATCGTACACAGACGCAAATGTGATCTATCTCGTGATCTCAGTGTTAGTACCGCGAGACACGTGTTCAGAACCAGTATCCCTGAGAGCTTCCCCATATGAAGAACAACATATGAATCCTGTAAATACAGCGGTTGTGTCTGCAGAAGAAGAATTGGTAAGACTTTATATAAACTTAATACTCATACGCTGAAATTATAGTCACAATCTCGCATATGTACACTCTTTTTGTACATGGAGAACACGGCCAGACAAACATGGGAAGACCCTCGACCCATGGACCGAGGAACTCAAAATAATTGTGACCAACTGGATAGTAGAAGCGCAGAACAGAAAGATAATGAAAATATCTAGAGTAGACCTATGTCGAACAATGGTAAATCAGGGCTGATTGATGGTGATGATGATGATTTGGTCTTAAAAGTGATAAGTTTCAGCAGATATTCATCATATGCTTCGGTCAGCCGGTTTAGGAGTAGTTGCAACTCTTCCTTGCTGGAAGCAATTAGTGCTATCCAGCTCGACTATTGATGACTGAATAGAAATTGTATTTGTATTCAAATTGGTTAGTCTCATTCTATTTATTCACGTACGGTTTCGGTGTTAAGCTATATGTTTCTCAAGAAAATTCTCTTACAAAAAAAAGAACATTTTATGCACAATATAATCAAAATATGCAATATCTTAAATTGTTTCTTAGGGATAAGTACTCAGAAAAGAATAAAAATACTTACTTATTGACCTACTATGCCGCCTAGCATTTTCAACACATTCTGAACCTAATTCGATGCCTGATTGAACTACTGCATCCCCTGGTACTGTTTCCGTACCTGCAAAAAATATATCATTTGAGGTTCTTCATATATACTATATGCCTGATATATAATTAAGGGAATTTTGCTGATAAAACTACTGTAAAACCGCAAACAGTAATATATGACGGTTCGGTACCTTCTGGTCTAGGCTACTCTTCATCAAATTTCGTTTGGTGTAGCATATTTTTCCTCCACGTTGTATAAGGTTTTATTCCGATTTACTCTGTACGAGTACTAGAAACCAACTCGCAAACAATTTTTGCTTAGTTGAGGAAATATGTTGTGGAATGCAAATTTTAGATTCCCCACGTCTCTAATAACATCTTTATTAACGTCTGTTTTGCCCTGCAATTCTTAGAAGGCACATATTAAAGCAAAAATCTGAATTTGGTTTCGAAAATTATTTTACGGATTTTAATATCGCATTTGCGTCCATTCGAAGTCGTGTTAGAATTGCTTCCTAAGACATAATAGATCTATTTTCACGTTCAGAGCGACTGTGAATTGCCGTTCTGAAGAGGCCTATTAGGCCGAAATACGTATAAGCGGATACACAGGCACACTGTACGTGAAATCAAATCTTAACTGTCTTTTCTTTATCAGGTTTTAATTTGCGTGTTACAAGTCTTCGAAAGATAAATGATTAGGTCTGCGTCTCAAAATCTTCGAATAGAATAAGCATAACCAATTGTTTATTTATATAGACAACCGGCGAGAGATCGAAGATGTGTGAGAATGAGAATTCAATCTTGGGTCTGACATTTTCGAAGTTAAGTAGTGCTGGTATATTATTCCGGTATTAAAAACTCCGTTTGCCCGTTTGGGAATCTGGAAGTTTGGTTGTAAACTTCAAGAAGATGTAAAATTTCAGATGTAATTATTGGATTTGTAATATTTTGGTATAAAAGGTTTTTTACTAGAATAAATGTTTCTGTAGGATAAATTTAAATGTAGCTTGCATAAACCAAGAATAGTTTTAATTTAATACTCAAATATATACAAATAACAGTGCAGGACTTATAATGGGCAATCCTCTAAGCCCATTGCTATCAGATATTTTTATGGATCACCTAGTGATAAATATTTCAAAACATCCTGTATTTAAACAGTTTTTATATTGGTGGAGATACGTAGACGACGTACTGGTATGTTTCACAGAAACTAACAGGTAACTAGATCAATTTTTATCGTATATTAATTCACTTCATAGTCATATTGAATTTACAATAGAAACAGAACAAAATCAATCCATGAATTTTTTACATTTAAAAATTATCAGACTTAAAAACAAACATGACTTCTCCATATTTCATAAACCTACCCATACTGACACGACTATACACAATTCATCATCCCATCCAACACAACATAAACTGGCAGCCTATCATAGTATGTTACATAGATTAACAGAAATTCCGATGTCAAAATACAACTTTGAGACAGAATTAAATAGCATCAAGCAAATAGCATTAAACAACGGATACAACGAACAAACAATTAATAAAATGTTAAATCAAAAACTACATAAGAAAGCCCTGAAATTAGTATTTTCACCACCAGAGAAAAAACCCAGTACCTTCTGCTCGATTACATATACAGGCAAAATATCAACAAAAATAGCCAAACACATAAAAAAGAAAGGAATAACACCAGCTTTCCGAACAAATAACAACCTAGGCAAATATATCAAAAACAACAAGAGCCAAAATAAAAAACATTTACACAGTGGTGTGTACAAACTTAAATGTGGCGACTGCCCAAAAACTTACATAGGTCAAACTGGTAGAAACTTCAATAAACGAATAGCAGAACATAAAAGGGCTTTCAATAATATAAAAACAGATTCTACATACGCACTTCTCCTTCTAGATCACAATCATTCTTTTAATGACGAATTTAAAATTCTTCACATTCAAAATAAAGGCCTTAAGCTATCCTTGTTAGAATCTATGGAAATCAACAAATTAAAAAACACAGATACAATTGTGTTTGACAAACCTGAGACAAACAGTTCTCCCCTCCTCAACTTATTTCATTAGAGACTATAAAGTGTAAACGCATGCCAAAAATAGATCACTTGAGAAAGGCAATCAGCCGAAACAGCTGTAGTGATAATAGGTTAAAATAAATTTTCTGGACATTTGAAAACAAAGTTTTCAGTGTTTTATTGTTACATAAAATGAATTTCCATCAGGTTAGGGTCGAATCCATCAATTAATACAATTGTATTTAATAGTAAATATATAAACATGGATGATCTACGTGAATATTTTGCATACCGATGTCTGCAAAAATTACAAGAAAAAACTAACAGTAAATATCAAACGCAGTTCGTTCCGGACCAAGATAATTGGTTTAATTACTCTAGAATCTAATTAATCGGGTGTTTGCATGCTCGCCTACAGAATCTACACAGCTGATTTCGTGCCGGATTTCTTTTTTCTTCCCTGGCTTTTAAAATATTCAGCAGGGAAAAAAGCAACTCACTCGCCGAGTAATTGATACGACATAATTATATTATGTATACGTCCATTTCCTTTTTAGACCGTACCCTAAATAGACTGCAGAGCTCCGAGTTGTTTGTGTTATTTGAGATTTTATTTGGAAAAAGTGTAATTTGCAATGGAAATAAGTTCGAATATTTAGGATTTAAAATTTTGCAAATTTTGTGTTTTTTTTAATTTTTTTTGTATAGCAGGACGCGATAATATATCAGGAGAAATCATGAAATACGGACGACAGAAAATCATTATTAGTCTAGGCGAGATCTGTTTTGGATTGGACATTTTCCATAGGAAGCTATTTTTTTGCTGGAATCCCTTCAGGATCAATATTCTTAATCGTCAAATCAATGATTTTTACGGGCACAAATTTCTGTTTCTATTTCATCTTTAGCTACTGCTTTAATGTCTTCTTTTATATATCATATTACCACACAAGAAATGAAATCCGTACAAGGATGACTGATGGCAGTCGCAGGATCATAATATGATGATCATAATGTTATGAAATTTACGTTAAATATTAAAAAACTTCTATTCTAATATCATTAAAGGCTATAAAAAACTTCACAAAATTTCATTTTGTTATTAAGTGAAAAAATAAGCTAATTCCCAAAAGAAATTCCGAATGAAGGCTCATGCCTCTTGCCGCATATTTGCGGTGAGAGATGAGCTCGAAACGGAAAAGTTCGATACATATTTATCATTAAAAATTCGTAAAGTTGTTGGTTTCAAGATGCTCATTTATTATTCACGTGTTTTCTGAAGCTACATTTTTCCATTTCCTGGGTGAAGGCCAACGATGCGGCAAGAAAAAAAATAATAGAGTGGGCCACACGTGAGATCGGTTTTTATATATAGATGTACAAAAAGGAGCTTATCAAAAAGAATTTGAAAGTATACTGCGCGGCATAAGTTACGGATATTGCCAATATAATGGTAATTGTACGTCATTGTGCATCAAGTAATTGGAAGTAAACAATTAAAAATTATTATAGTGTATAAAAAACCTGAAAATTTGAGACCTTATAAAGAGAATCAGACAAAAAGAACATTCTAAGTATTATCAAAGCACCTGTACAGCAATTTGAAAATAACCTTTGTTCTCTCAAATGGAATAAAGAAATATAATTGTTTACAAACTACTTCACCGATTGTGCCCATCTTTCGCAAATATAGTAACTAGATAAAAAATTACGTCATGAAATGTGTTTTAAATGGTTTTATTGTTTAATTAAATAATTATAACCAATTAAAAAACATGAATATTTTCGGGTTTGATTTGCAATAGCTTTTTTTTAATTTTGGAAAATCTTATTTTGAAGAGCAAGCTTATTTTGACGTCGTCTGTTGAACGTTTTTATCTAGAGTACGTATTTTTCTCACAATATTGAAATGAATGAAATTAAGTCGCTTTTTTTTTGCTTAACCATTTGAAGCCCGATTTTTATTAAATTAAAAAACAGGAAAACAGGAAACATAGCGTAACAAAAAATTAAATGAAAAATAAAAACCATTTAGCACTTATTTCTTCCTATTCTTCCTATTGTTTTGCATGGAACGTTGCAAAACAATTTCTGTCGTGTTTTGAAACAAATACGACAAAGTCCGACATTGCAAGATGAATATTTCTACTGTATTCTGCTAACATTTGCTGTCGTGCTGCAGTTGGCACATCTCAAAGAAGAAGTTCTTTGGGGCATATGAGAAGACTTTGAATGGCGCAGTTCCAAGGGAATATGCCTTTTGAATTTACTCACTGGTTTTTCTGATGATGATCTTCCGCCTTTTAATTATTCTGGAGCTCCAATACGGCCTCTAATCACATACTTTTGAGATTGGCTTCTCAGTTGAAATAGAATGCATGCGTTTACGACGCAAGCATCCACAAAATAAAAAAATATTCTATGCCACCACTTCTGTGATTTACGATTCACCTCATAAAGACTTTTCAGCATGTCAAATTTGTCAAAATATTCCATATGCGAGTTGTAGAGCACTACCATTTGTGGGCATGAAACCTCATTCAGAGTAGCGTCTTTTTGTCTTCTCTTTCCAACTTCGTTTGTTGCTGGATTTTGGTAATTTGCTAAAAGAATCACACTTCTGCGATCCATCCACTTCAACGCAAATAGTCCATCTGTTGAAAAACGGTAATCTGAATCTCCTCGGCAAAAATCGCTTTGCTAAAACGTTTATTAATTTAACACCTTTATAAAAACCGACTTCATTTTCAAAAATACAAACATTTCATATGAAAGGTGTACTCTTCACTTTAAAACGCAGTTTGATTTTTGTCGATGGGATACTCTAATCAAGAGATATTGAATTTTTACCGTTGAATTGATACAAATTTTATTTAAAATTAATTTCGCGCTCGTAACTTAACTTTCGAACATTAAAAATCACCTGTCGCTTTAAGCTTTGTTTCTGAAAGAACGGTTTATTCTACACAAAAAGTGCTAATAAATATTTTGTTCAAAATTATCTCAGCTACATTTTTTATTTGAAATA